TGTCCCGTGCTTTCAGGGCATGGGTCCAAGTAGTTTTCTGTTTGCCCTGCTGCTTTCCCTAGGAAAACCCCTTCTTTACCGCTGAATCAGAGCAGACATCAATCCACAGAAAACTCAATTGACATTTCCTCCAATTTAATGGTAAAGAGTGAGTTTTCTGAGAAGTAAGTGATGGGGCAAGCAGAAATGTGGACAAGCCACAAGGCAATGCATAAGAGGCCACCTTACTGGTGCCAAAATGAGTCTTTGCTAAGGCAGAAGAGAGCTAGTTGTGAAGGAAATGTGATCAGTTTAAAAAGATGTGAAAGTAAAAGTTGGTTAAAGTTTTCCAAAGTGTAAACACAGGAGAGTAAAACTGTTTTGCTGGGTCAGGCCATGGCCCATCTAGTTCTGCATTCTGTGTCTAATAGCAACTAGCCAGTTGCCCTTCAAAGCTCACATGGAAGGTATCAGGGTAAGAACCTGCCCCTAGAGTTGGTAATAGTTATATAAAAAAGGTAAAGGACCCCTGACAGTTAAGTCCAGTTGCAGACGACTCACTCTGGGGTTGCGGTGCTCATCTCGCTTTACAGGCCGAGGGAGCCGGCGTTTGTCTGCTGACAGTTTTTCCAGGTCGTGTGGCCAGCATGACTACCTTGGTATATAGAGGCAGTAGCCACTGATAAACCATGTCCTTCATGAAACTATTTCTTTTAAAACCCTAAAGCAATTGCCCATGGCCCCACTATACTGTACTTTGTTATAACCTTTTCCTTTCAGTCTACACAGCTCTAGAATGATGGCAAAACTAGCAACTTTTTGACATCTTGGAAAGTTATAGTGCAGATGGCTCTGGAATGAAATTACTCCTGTTCTGAGCAGGAAAGAATTGTGCTTAGTGGCTTTTTAAAAAAATGACACCCTCTATATTCTTTTATTTGGCACAGGAAGAACTACTCCAGAGACAAATGCTGCTGGGGTGCTTCCACATCAGCCTTTTTTTCCTGGAGCTAATCTCAGCCATTCACTCAGTTTTTACAGAGAATCCAGATGGCATGGTTTCCAGATATAAGCTACTCAATAGGTTGCTTGTCCTATTGTAAGACATGGTTTGCAGCAATTTCCCTGACTTTAAGTGCAATTGCCATGCCACCCTTTGACGTAGTGACTTTGACAAAGTGCTGTTGACTCATCTAGTGTGGAAGTGAGGTCAATGACCATGACACAGTTTGTGATGGCATTGCTGAAACCTGGATCTCTGCTTTTTTGCTTTACAACTGGGATGGGAAGCCTTATTTTTTTTAACCCAAGGGCTGAATTGCATCCTGGGCAAGCTTCTGGGGGCCACATGCTGGGGTGGGTGTGGCCAGAGGCAAAAGCAAGTAGAGCAGTGCATATGACTCTTACTTTGTATAGCAGACTGCATTCCAGCCATGCCAAAATCAGAGGTTTCTACAGTCACACACCCTTCTCTGTGCTCCAGGAAGGCAAGGAAGAGGCATGATCACAGTTCGAGGACATATTTCAGTTATGCAGGAGCACTAAATGAGGGCATTGGAGCAGGGCTGGTGATGGGTGTGGCCTGGGGAGAGGGGTTGTGACCTGTCAAGAGTCTCAAGAGCTGGAATCTGAAAAGACTCAACTTAAGAACTACCGTCCCATCTCACTCCTAAATGTGGATTACAAAATATTTGCAGACATTTTGGCAAGTAGACTTAAAAAGGTACTTAATGAAGTAATTCATAAAGACCAAGCAGGCTTTCTCCCTGGTAGACATATGGGTAATAACACCAGGAATATTATTGGCATTTTGGAGCTTTTGCAAATTAAGAGGAATACAAGGGCGGTGTTAATTTTCATTGATGCAGAGAAAGCATTTGACAACATTTCCTGGATGTTTATGAAGAAAAATTTGGAAGGGATGGGAGTGGGACGGGGGTTTGAAAATGGAATAGAAGCAATTTACTCAGAGCAAAAAGCTAAACTGATAGTGAACAATGTGGTGACGGAGGAATTTAAAATTGAAAAAGGGACACGACAGGGGTGCCCTCTATCTCCTCTTTTATTTATTTCGGTCCTGGAGGTGTTGCTGAACATGATTAGGGAGGACCGGCAGGTACAAGGAGTAGAGGTCGGAGTGAAACAATACAAACTGAAAGCTTTTGCAGATGACCTAGTTTTAACATTACAGGAGCCAGAATCTAGTACAAAAAGAGTTTTAGAACTTATTTCTGAGTTTGGTCGGGTGGCGGGATTTAAGCTGAACAAGCAGAAAACTAAGGTTTTGGCTAAAAATTTGACACCTACAGAAACAGATGGGTACCAGAAAGAAACAGAATTAAGTGTGGTTAAAAAAGTGAAATACTTAGGGGTATATTTGTCTTCTAAAAATTTGAATTTATTTAAAGACAATTATGAAAAATGTTGGACGGAAATCAAAAAGGATTTGGAAATTTGGTCAAGATTGAAACTCACCTTGTCGGGCCGAATCGCAGCTATAAAGATGAATGTATTGCCGAAAATGTTATTTTTGTTCCAAACCCTACAGATCGTGGACAGAGTGGAATGTTTTGGAAAATGGCAGAAGGATATATCTAGGTTTGTCTGGCAGGGCAAAAAGCCCCGAATAAAATTTAAAATATTAACTGACTCGAAAGAAAGAGGGGGGTTTGCCCTGCCGGACTTGAGGTTGTACTATGAAGCTGCAGCCTTCTGCTGGTTGAAAGATTGGTTCCTGCTGGAAAACACTGATGTCCTGGATCTGGAAGGGTTTGACAATATCTTTGGTTGGCATGCATATTTGTGGTACGACAAGGTGAAAGCGCACAAATTGTTTAAAAACCATATTGTCAGAAAAGCAATTTTTGCCGTCTGGATGAAATACAAAGACCTATTAGAAGGTAAGACCCCGAGGTGGCTATCACCGATGGAGGCCAAGGCTCGAAAAAGACCCAATATGGAGGCCCATTGGCCAAAATATTGGGAAATAATTGAAAGAACTGGAGATAATTGGAAGTTGCAGAGCCAGGAAAAATTAAAAAGTAAGGTGCGAGATTGGTTACACTATGCTCAAATTCAAGAGGTTTTTAAAATGGATAAAAAAGTTGGTTTCCAGGTGGAAAAATCGAAATTGGAGACGGAACTGTTAGAACCAAAGACTAAGGTACTTTCGAGAATGTATAACTTGTTGCTTAAATGGAACACACAGGATGAGATAGTTAAATCTGCCATGATAAAATGGGCACAGGATGTTGGACATAACATTATGTCAGAAGACTGGGAAAGGTTATGGAACACCGGAATGAAGTTCACGGCATGTAGTGCCTTGAAAGAAAACATTATGAAAATGGTATACTGGTGGTACATGACCCCAGTCAAGTTAGCTAAGATATATCACCTGTCTGATAATAAATGTTGGAAATGTCAAGAGGCAGAAGGGACATTCTTTCACCTCTGGTGGACCTGCCCAAAAGTGAAGGCGTCCTGGGAAATGATTTATAATGAACTTAAAAAGGTATTTAGATATACCTTTCCTAAGAAACCGGAGGCCTTCCTTCTGGGCATGGTGGACCGGAAGGTGTCAAAAAAGGATAGAACCTTGTTTATGTATGCAACTACAGCAGCAAGAATTCTCATCGCAAAGCACTGGAAGACACAAGATTTACCCACACTGGAGGAATGGCAGACGCAGCTGATGGACTATATGGAACTGGCTGAAATGACTGGCAGAATCCGAGATTTGGACGAGGAAATAATAGAGGAGGACTGGAAAAAATTTAAAGACTATTTGCAAAAACATTATAAACTGTATGAATGTTAAGAACGTGCACGATTAGGAAATGTTATGCTTTCGCAATTTGATTAAGTAAATGGTAAAGTAAGTGATAACAAAGGAAAAAAAGAGGAGACAAATGTGAAACAAATATATTATGTTTATTTTAAAGGTACAAAAGCTGGGTTGTAGCACTCTGAACTTGGAGACATAACGGTTGAAGGTTGCAGTGGGTTGCGAAGTGAGGTGGCAAATTGCTGACACTGTTGTTGTGTAGAACGCAAGGCCTGGAAGATGTGGGGAGGTCCGGCTGACAGTGATGGATTGTGGAGAGAGGATTTGACATATATCTATGCTTTTTTATTTTCTTATATTTTTGTGGTCTGTTTCTTGTTTTTTACTCTTGTGTTTTTGAACTTGTGAACCCATGGAAAGAAACGCAATAAAAAATATTTATTAAAAAATAAAAAATAAAAAAAGAGTCTCAAGAGCCATTTAGAGAGACTGGCTGTTCTGCATCTTGCCTGTAGTTTCCCTTTGCACCACCACTATTTCTTGTTGATGCCCATCAAGCCCTTTCCAACAGGCCAGAGTTTTGTGGATCAGCTGAGAGAGGAGGCAGGGAATTAAATTTGGTTCCCAAACATCTGATTGGGGGTGGTGGCAGGATTTTTGTCTGTGTTGGCTGGATGTTCCTCCATTGCATTTCATTTTAAAACAGAATAATGAATATGTAGAAATAAAAACAAGCCCTTAATTTGCAAATGCTCTAACAGTTGGGCAGAGCTCTCCAGATGGGACTACAGCTCCCATCATTCCTGCTCACTGGCCATGCCAGCTGGAGCTGATAGGAGTTGTAGTCCAAATGCATCTGGAGGACACCTTCTTTGTTCAGCAATGTTACAGCATTATTGGGGGGCTATAAAACCAGAACATTTGTGGTATAAAAAGTTTGGGGAATTCAGCAGGAAGTGATGCACTGATTGGATATGAAGCTGTGCCACCACCCCAAAAATTTTGCAGGCTGAAATGTTATTAAAAGTGGGATGATAGCATTATGAGCACAAATATTATTAATGTGTAATAGAAAGAACTTAATAGGTAACTAGTCTTTGCTCCCGTTTGACAGATGAGAAAAGCAGAGGCTGAAGCAGCTGTACAGTCCAACAAACCACTCCAAGTCTTTAGTAAGAACTGGAACTTGAATGTTGCAGGTCCAAATGCAGACAAGAATCTTTCTACAGCCGCACGAACCTCTTTATATTCTTTCGGCTTCAGAAAGGTCTTGTGACTCTGGGCAGGCGACGGCCGCGAAGTTCCTCCGAAGCGGGGCTTTCCTTGTGTGATCGTTGGCCGCGAGCCTGAGCAAGGAGGGAGAAGAAGCCCTCCCTCCCTCCTCCTCCCAATGCAGATTTTGGCGCGCGGGGTGGGGGAGAGACAGGCGAGGGGGTTGGTTTATTGTGGAAGCCGCCGCTGCTGGTGGCGCGGAGGAGAACCACCTCCAGGGAGGGAGGGAGATGGCGCTGCCGAGTTCGCAGCCAAACTTTGCACAAGAGGCGGCTGCTGCTCCTCCACCCGGCCGAAGTTAGCTCTGGAGCGGGACGCGGCTGGCAACCGTCTCCAGCCTTTGCCCGCAGGAGCGCCCCACGCCAAAAAACAACCCCCCTCCGCCAGCAGCAGCCCGGATCCCAGTCCCTTCCCACCCATTCCTAAAGTGGCGGCGGCGGCGGCAGCAGCAGCAAGTCTGCAGATGGGAACCAACTAATCGCAGCCAACTCCGGCAGTCCGTCTCCCTCCCAGAGCGTGTCCGGCCACCCGGCGCCTGCAGGATGAGCGATCAGCCCTGGGGAGCCTCCCGCAGCCGCCGCTCCCGCCCGGGCGGGGACTATCCGAGGGCAAAATGAGCGATTATCCGGAGAAGGAGGCGCCGATCTCGCGCAAGCAGCGCTTGATGGCCGCGATCGCGTCCGGGGACGAGCGTGCAGGAGCAGCGGCGAGTGGCAGCTGCTGTCGTGCCGAGTCCCCGGCGGCGTTGGCGGCGGCTGCCTCCGCCTCCTCCGACGCGGCGCTCTGCTGCTTCATCTGCGGCGGCGGGATCAGCCGGGGCAAGGAGCTGAAGCTGCAAGTGAAGTACCCCCGCGACAACCAGCCTTTTTTCCCTTTCCTGCAGCACCAGGAGCCGGCGCCCGGGGCGCAGGAGGTGACTCCGGAGGGCTGCGCTGTGGTGTGCGCCGTCTGCCGCTGCTTTCTGGGGGAGCAGTGGGACTCCTTCGAGAGGACGCGCACGCCGGTGGAAAAGCGCATGTATTGGCTGAAGCGGCCCTACCAGTGCGACGGGCCGGCGGGGGGGCCCGGCGGGCTGCGCAGGGGCCCCCAAGAGTGGAACCTCTCCTACGTGCTGGGCGCCGACGACGAGCGGCGTCCTAGTAGCAGCAGCGGCCGGAGCCAGCCTGCCGACGACGACGAGGAAGAAGCTTGCGGCGCCGGCGGCGAAGACTCTGAGCTTTCCTCTCTCTCTGACGCCGGTAACCTCTCGGAGCCTGACCTGCGTTCCCCCAGCCGGAACAGCGGCGCCAAAGGCAGTCCGGGTTACTGGCGCGTCAAAGAGCGCGCGGTGCCAAGCGCGCACATGGGGAGCCGCGCCAGTTACCGCGAGTGGAACCAGCCGCCGCCGCCGCCACCCCCAGAGGAGGCGGCGATGGCGGCGGCCCCCTTGCGCCCGGGGAACGGGCTGCCACCGGCAGAGAAGCCTCGGAGGAAGAGGCAGCGGCGGGCAAGACTCTGGGGAGCCGAGGCGCCGATTTGGAGAGCTGCTCATGGCGCGCCAGGGGGCAGCGGCGGGAGCGCACCGGGGGCCTTCAATACAGCAGGAAGAGGCGACGGGTTGGTGGGCAAGCGACCCCCGGGGGAAAGTGGCCGAGAGCTTTCCAGTTACTGCTCCTCCGAGGAGAGCGAGATCAATATCACCAGCGACGAGGAGCAAAAAGAGAATGGCAGCGCCCTCCTAGCGCCCAGACCTCTCTGGGGGACAGAGCCGCCATCGGTAGGAGAAGTCGTTTGCTACGTTTGCGGCTCCCTCTTGACGTCTACTTCCCAGCACAGGATTCACGTGCAAAAGCAGGAGAAAGCCTCTAAGGCGCCTTTCTTCCCCTTCCTGTGGTTGCACAGCCCTCCTCCGGGGGCTTTACCCATCAGCACCGCTGGTAGCACCTTAGTGTGTTCTTGCTGCTTCGCTTCCCTCATGCAGCAGTGGCAAAGCTTTGAGTTGGCCAACGTGCCTGTCCTGCAGCGGCTCTATGTAGTACCTCTGAACGCTGTAGCCCCCAAGGCTAAGAGGGAGACTCTTCCAAGAGAGGAGGTACTGCCTGGACCCCTGCAGCTTCTCCAGGAAGCATGTTACCTCTGTGGGGAGGATTGCACCAAGGATGGCCGGTCAGTCTCTGCCAAGATCACCAACGGCAATGCCAAAACAACCATGCACTTCCCCTTCCTCAGCCTCCTTCCTTGCCCTCCCAATGCCAAAGGTCTCAACAAGCACTGGGAGGTCCATAGCTGTCGGAAATGTTATGGTGTGCTGCAGGACCTATGGGCCATGTACCGGGCTTGCCACAATGAGGAGTTCATCACTTCGGTGCAGAGCTTCCTGGGCAGGTATCACCAGGTCTTTTCAGCTGGGGAGTCCAACAGCATTGCCCGGCATCCTGGTTTGGCCAAAGTGGGCTTGGTGTCCATTTGCTACATCTGTGGAGCTGAACTGGGAGCAGGGAAGGAGTTTCACATCAGTGTCAACCCTCCAGGCCGCTTTGGCGAGAAGGAGCCATTCTTCCCATTCCTCACAGTTTACCCACCAGCTCCTCGGGCTAGGCCTGTCGATTCAACTGGAATAGTGGCCACATGTGTGCTCTGTTACCATGATCTCTTGGGGCAGTGGATGCAGCATGAAAGCAACCATTCCCCCCATCCAAGCAGCGCCTGGTCCAGGCAGTACAAAGTGGAGACTTTTGTCTGCTTCTTCTGCAGGCAAGAGAAGAAACGATGCCTTGGATTAAAAGCGGTGCAAGTTGCCAGGCTGCCAGTGTTCCTGTGCTCTTTACGGGTGCCTAGCAGCTTGCTGGTGGATGACGGTAAGCAGCTGACCATCGGAGCATGCGCTGAGTGTTCCGTACTGGTGCTGGCTGGCAAAAACACAGTGTCCAGAGATCTCTTTGCAGCACCTGCAATGGCACCAGCTTCTCTCCAAAAGGTAAGCAGCCTGGTTGACCTTCCAGTGGAACTGGAATTATCTGCTGTTGCTCTTCTGCGAGCTTTGGCTGGAGACAGGTGCCAAACTGTTGCTTTCTAGCAAACCAGCCGCTCCAGAGTCATTGACCTCATGACTCTAAAAAACCCCACCATGGATCTCTGTCAAGGTGTGTGGGAGAACTGTAAGCATGTATCTCCTTTTTTTAAGCAAGCACTGGCTGCTGGAAGGCTTTCTTTTAGGTGACTCACTCACATAGGCGCCGACTCCATGGGGCTTGAGGGGGCCCGAGCCCCCTCAAAAATTCGTTTGGGGGGCTCCGCCCCCCCAATAATCTCCGGCGCCCCTCCAGCAGAGCGCCATCGCCGCCCCTCCCCAGCCCAAAATGCACAGGGAGGGGCGGGCTGCATGCCTCCTGCCCTCCCTCCCGAGCAAAAGCTCCACCCAATTTCCTTTGGAGCTGATTAATAGGCGCAGCACGCTCTTCCCTATTCGCTCACGAGGAGGCGGCGCCACTTTATTTGCATATTCATGAGCTTATTTATTATTCATGAGCTTTCCCGGGCCCCCCAATATTTTTTATAAGTCCGCGTCCCTGCTCACTCAAGACCAGAAGCTAACAAGAATTCTAATGCTGGTGCCATTCTACTCCTGCTACAAAATCCTATTAGGGATTAGCTTCAACATTAGCTTTTTAGAGCCGTAAGAGAACTCCACAGTTTCCCAACTATGATGCAAAGTGCTTTTTTCCTGAGGTGTTTTTCTGTTAATGGGCATATCAGGTGGTCCCCCCCCCATGCTAATTCATGTATCTTCAGAATACAGGTACAACGGCTGGAAAGAATCCCAGAAGCAGAGCCATGGTAGGCTGTGGCAGCGCAATGCAGAGTTCCATGTCACAATAAACTAATTAGTAGTGCACAGGACTTTCTGGAGGGCACTCCCATGCCCACTTATGGTTTAGGTGCCTTAAAAGAGTGAATCTACAGAAGTTAGTAGTCCACCAAATGTGGGCTAAAAGCCATCCCCTCTCCTCCATGGCTGTTTTGCTCAGCATTTAAATGTTCTTGTCCAATTTGTCACTTACGCTAGGAATTTGTGGCTTAACAAGAAAACATTTGTAAATCATACTTGCCTAATAGCCTGAAGGCAGGTCCTGAGGTGGCTGAGTGGCTGTTAGAAAGCTGATTATAGTGCTTTTAGTGCTTTTTATTTTATATACTAGCTATTTACATTTCTCTAGTTGCTTAGTCTTCCAGGTGTGCAGTTCAGCTCCACAGTGTGCAGATGTCCCGATCCTCGTCTAGCAGCAGATTCGAAAGCATTATGGGTAAGGGGGGGGGTCTAATCCCTGCCAGTCAGTTCAGTGTGGAAGGTGGGAAAGTAATGGGAATCAGGCTTCCAAATAAACCTGTGAGCAACCAGGAATGCCAGTAGATATATTTCTATACCGTCCTTAATCCAAGGATCACAGGGTGGTTTACCATATAAAAACAAGAAAATGCATGACATAGTAACAAAAACAATAATAGATCATAGATTGTTTAATTAGATAAAGGCCTGAGAAAAGAGGAATGTTTTTGCCTGGTGCCTAAAGAGATGCAACAAAGGTGCCAGGCAACCCTCCCAAGGGAGAGCATTCCACAAGCAGGGAGCCACCACAGAAAAGGCCCATTCTCATGTTGCCACCCTCCTGACCTCTTGTGGAGGAGGCACACTAAGGACCTTGGATGATGATCACAGGGTCCAGGGCTGTGGGAAGAGACCATTCTTATTCTTACTGGCCTGCCCCTGTGCCTCTTTAACACCAGCCTAACATGTACAGATCCAACAAATGAAGTTTTTCTGTTTTGTCTGCATGCTAGGAAAGGCTTCGCTCGCTAAATGTCTGCCATATAAGCTGCATGTTGTTGAAAATGTGGCAAATTATGCGGTAGGGTTTTGTGTATGGGGTGAGCAATTTGCAGTCCTTTTAAAGCCAAAAAGTGAAACTTGCCTTCATACAGGAGTATGCAGAAGACCAGGGTTGACGTGCAAATGCACTTCTCATTGAATATGGGAGTGAGAGAAAAATTTTGATGCGCTCTTAGGTAGTAGTTGCTCAGTATGTTCCAGAGTGGCAAAGATCTGTCATTTCTATGCAATAGCAAGTTTCCTTCCTTGCCTTAAACACACCATAGAAATTTGCTTTTCTGATTGGAGGTACAGTATTCATTCATATTCTTATCTCTTGGCATTCAAAATCCTCATGAGTGTGTGGTCATCTCTGACTATGATGCAACCTCTCCCCATTGCATACAATTAGAACAGCATGTGACAATGACTTCCTGCAGGAATAGCCTCTGTCATTTCTGTGGTTTTGCACATTGCAAGGGGGACAGGGAAGAGAACACATGGATAAATCACACCTCCTATTTGGGTATGTTTAGGAAAAATTGCCATGGAGGAAGTCTTGTGTTGACTACCTGGTAAGATGTGTGAGAGTGACCCCCACATATCAGACTCTCCTATCTAGCTCCCAGGGCAGAGTCTGAAGGTGTGTGATTCAGCAACCTTGATGAAGCTAATGAGATCTAGGTCCAAGCGGGAGACTGCTTGGGAACTTTATGTCTGTCACCCTGAGTGCCATCATGAGAGAAATGCAGGATATAAATGCAATGCACTAACATGTTAATCCTAAACTAAAGAAAGTGATAGCAGAATTTATGGGGGGAGGAAACTTGATAATGGGTGAAGCTGATTTCAAGAGTGTTTCTGTAACCAGATTTCTGAAATATGGCATCAGCATTGCTTTAGCAACAATCGCAGTTGTTCAGCTTAAACCACTTGTAGAGTGTTGATTTCCAAGTCATGCAGGCAGACGATGAAGTGGCCTCAAAGCTATTTAGTGCTTGCTTGTGGACCCTTAAAGGATTGGACTATCAATGGTGACATATTTCTTGGCCTCAGAGCCAAGCTTTTGAGAGAGCCCAAATAAGCATGCTCCCTAAGATAGGAACTCCCAGTCTGCCAGCAAATGGAAAAAACGGAAGCCCCAGGATCCTTGAAGGAGGTGTTTCCAAGCTGACTGGCTTCTTTCCCTCCCTGTGGGAATGTGTCTTTTTAATCTGAAAGTCAGCTGTGTAAGGGGGGGAGAGATTTTCATGCTCCTATGACTTAAGAAGCCTTCCAGAGGGCTGTTTGCTTTTCATCTGAGCTTCCATCCCCTTGGCTAGAGAGGACAGCTGCTGATAATAAACTCACGACAGGCCAAGCTGACCTGCGTTCCCCCAGCCGGAACAGCGGCGCCAAAGGCAGTCCGGGTTACTGGCGCGTCAAAGAGCGCGCGGTGCCAAGCGCGCACATGGGGAGCCGCGCCAGTTACCGCGAGTGGAACCAGCCGCCGCCGCCGCCACCCCCAGAGGAGGCGGCGATGGCGGCGGCCCCCTTGCGCCCGGGGAACGGGTGCCACCGGCAGAGAAGCCTCGGAGGAAGAGGCAGCGGGCGGCAAGACTCTGGGGAGCCGAGGCGCCGATTTGGAGAGCTGCTCATGGGCGCGCCAGGGGGCAGCGGCGGGAGCGCACCGGGGGCCTTCAATACAGCAGGAAGAGGCGACGGGTTGGTGGGCAAGCGACCCCCGGGGGAAAGTGGCCGAGAGCTTTCCAGTTACTGCTCCTCCGAGGAGAGCGAGATCAATATCACCAGCGACGAGGAGCAAAAAGAGAATGGCAGCGCCCTCCTAGCGCCCAGACCTCTCTGGGGGACAGAGCCGCCATCGGTAGGAGAAGTCGTTTGCTACGTTTGCGGCTCCCTCTTGACGTCTACTTCCCAGCACAGGATTCACGTGCAAAAGCAGGAGAAAGCCTCTAAGGCGCCTTTCTTCCCTTCCTGTGGTTGCACAGCCCTCCTCCGGGGCTTTACATCAGCACCGCTGGTAGCACCTTAGTGTGTTCTTGCTGCTTCGCTTCCCTCATGCAGCAGTGGCAAAGCTTTGAGTTGGCCAACGTGCCTGTCCTGCAGCGGCTCTATGTAGTACCTCTGAACGCTGTAGCCCCCAAGGCTAAGAGGGAGACTCTTCCAAGAGAGGAGGTACTGCCTGGACCCCTGCAGCTTCTCCAGGAAGCATGTTACCTCTGTGGGGAGGATTGCACCAAGGATGGCCGGTCAGTCTCTGCCAAGATCACCAACGGCAATGCCAAAACAACCATGCACTTCCCCTTCCTCAGCCTCCTTCCTTGCCCTCCCAATGCCAAGGTCTCAACAAGCACTGGGAGGTCCATAGCTGTCGGAAATGTTATGGTGTGCTGCAGGACCTATGGGCCATGTACCGGCTTGCCACAATGAGGAGTTCATCACTTCGGTGCAGAGCTTCCTGGGCAGGTATCACCAGGTCTTTTCAGCTGGGGAGTCCAACAGCATTGCCGGCATCCTGGTTTGGCCAAAGTGGGCTTGGTGTCCATTTGCTACATCTGTGGAGCTGAACTGGGAGCAGGGAAGGAGTTTCACATCAGTGTCAACCCTCCAGGCCGCTTTGGCGAGAAGGAGCCATTCTTCCCATTCCTCACAGTTTACCCACCAGCTCCTCGGGCTAGGCCTGTCGATTCAACTGGAATAGTGGCCACATGTGTGCTCTGTTACCATGATCTCTTGGGGCAGTGGATGCAGCATGAAAGCAACCATTCCCCCCATCCAAGCAGCGCCTGGTCCAGGCAGTACAAAGTGGAGACTTTTGTCTGCTTCTTCTGCAGGCAAGAGAAGAAACGATGCCTTGGATTAAAAGCGGTGCAAGTTGCCAGGCTGCCAGTGTTCCTGTGCTCTTTACGGGTGCCTAGCAGCTTGCTGGTGGATGACGGTAAGCAGCTGACCATCGGAGCATGCGCTGAGTGTTCCGTACTGGTGCTGGCTGGCAAAAACACAGTGTCCAGAGATCTCTTTGCAGCACCTGCAATGGCACCAGCTTCTCTCCAAAAGGTAAGCAGCCTGGTTGACCTTCCAGTGGAACTGGAATTATCTGCTGTTGCTCTTCTGCGAGCTTTGGCTGGAGACAGGTGCCAAACTGTTGCTTTCTAGCAAACCAGCCGCTCCAGAGTCATTGACCTCATGACTCTAAAAAACCCACCCATGGATCTCTGTCAAGGTGTGTGGGAGAACTGTAAGCATGTATCTCCTTTTTTTAAGCAAGCACTGGCTGCTGGAAGGCTTTCTTTTAGGTGACTCACTCACATAGGCGCCGACTCCATGGGGCTTGAGGGGGCCCGAGCCCCCTCAAAAATTCGTTTGGGGGGCTCCGCCCCCCAATAATCTCCGGCGCCCCTCCAGCAGAGCGCCATCGCCGCCCCCTCCCCAGCCCAAAATGCACAGGGAGGGGCGGGCTGCATGCCTCCTGCCCTCCCTCCCGAGCAAAAGCTCCACCCAATTTCCTTTGGAGCTGATTAATAGCCGCAGCACGCTCTTCCCTATTCGCTCACGAGGAGGCGGCCGCCACTTTATTTGCATTCATTACTATTGATGATTTCATTTATCGTGAGCATTTCCCGGGCCCCCCCAATATTTTTATAAGTCGCGTCCCTGCTCACTCAAGACCAGAAGCTAACAAGAATTCTAATGCTGGTGCCATTCTACTCCTGCTACAAAATCCTATTAGGGATTAGCTTCAACATTAGCTTTTTAGAGCCGTAAGAGAACTCCACAGTTTCCAACTATGATGCAAAGTGCTTTTTTCCTGAGGTGTTTAGTATGAATGTTAAGAACGTGCACGATTAGGAAATGTTATGCTTCGCAATTTGATTAAGTAAATGGTAAAGTAAGTGATAACAAAGGAAAAAAAGAGGAAGACAAATGTGAAACAAATATATTATGTTTATTTTAAAGTACAAAAGCTAGGTTGTAGCACTCTGAACTTGGAGACATAACGGTTGAAGGTTGCAGTAGGTTGCGAAGTGAGGTGGCAAATTGCTGACACTGTTGTTGTGTAGAACGCAAGGCCTGGAAGATGTGGGGAGGTCCGGCTGACAGTGATGGATTGTGGAGAGAGGATTTGACATATATCTATGCTTTTTTATTTTCTTATATTTTTGTGGTCTGTTTCTTGTTTTTTACTCTTGTGTTTTTGAACTTGTGAACCCATGGAAAGAAACGCAATAAAAAATATTTATTAAAAAATAAAAAATAAAAAAAGAGTCTCAAGAGCCATTTAGAGAGACTGGCTGTTCTGCATCTTGCCTGTAGTTTCCCTTTGCACCACCACTATTTCTTGTTGATGCCCATCAAGCCCTTTCCAACAGGCCAGAGTTTTGTGGATCAGCTGAGAGAGGAGGCAGGGAATTAAATTTGGTTCCCAAACATCTGATTGGGGGTGGTGGCAGGATTTTTGTCTGTGTTGGCTGGATGTTCCTCCATTGCATTTCATTTTAAAACAGAATAATGAATATGTAGAAATAAAAACAAGCCCTTAATTTGCAAATGCTCTAACATTGGGCAGAGCTCTCCAGATGGGACTACAGCTCCCATCATTCCTGCTCACTGGCCATGCCAGCTGGAGCTGATAGGAGTTGTAGTCCAAATGCATCTGGAGGACACCTTCTTTGTTCAGCAATGTTACAGCATTATTGGGGGGCTATAAAACCAGAACATTTGTGGTATAAAAAGTTTGGGGAATTCAGCAGGAAGTGATGCACTGATTGGATATGAAGCTGTGCCACCACCCCAAAAATTTTGCAGGCTGAAATGTTATTAAAAGTGGGATGATAGCATTATGAGCACAAATATTATTAATGTGTAATAGAAAGAACTTAATAGGTAACTAGTCTTTGCTCCCGTTTGACAGATGAGAAAAGCAGAGGCTGAAGCAGCTGTACAGTCCAACAAACCACTCCAAGTCTTTAGTAAGAACTGGAACTTGAATGTTGCAGGTCCAAATGCAAACAAGAATCTTTCTACAGCCGCACGAACCTCTTTATATTCTTTCGGCTTCAGAAAGGTCTTGTGACTCTGGGCAGGCGACGGCCGCGAAGTTCCTCCGAAGCGGGGCTTTCCTTGTGTGATCGTTGGCCGCGAGCCTGCGCAAGGAGGGAGAAGAAGCCCTCCCTCCCTCCTCCTCCCAATGCAGATTTTGGCGCGCGGGGTGGGGGAGAGACAGGCGAGGGGGTTGGTTATTGTGGAAGCCGCCGCTGCTGGTGGCGCGGAGGAGAACCACCTCCAGGGAGGGAGGGAGATGGCGCTGCCGAGTTCGCAGCCAAACTTTGCACAAGAGGCGGCTGCTGCTCCTCCACCCGGCCGAAGTTAGCTCTGGAGCGGGACGCGGCTGGCAACCGTCTCCAGCCTTTGCCCGCAGGAGCGCCCCACGCCAAAAAACAACCCCCCTCCGCCAGCAGCAGCCCGGATCCCAGTCCCTTCCCACCCATTCCTAAAGTGGCGGCGGCGGCGGCAGCAGCAGCAAGTCTGCAGATGGGAACCAACTAATCGCAGCCAACTCCGGCAGTCCGTCTCCCTCCCGGAGCGTGTCCGGCCACCCGGCGCCTGCAGGATGAGCGATCAGCCCTGGGGAGCCTCCCGCAGCCGCCGCTCCCGCCCGGGCGGGGACTACCCGAGGGCAAAATGAGCGATTATCCGGAGAAGGAGGCGCCGATCTCGCGCAAGCAGCGCTTGATGGCCGCGATCGCGTCCGGGGACGAGCGTGCAGGAGCAGCGGCGAGTGGCAGCTGCTGTCGTGCCGAGTCCCCGGCGGCGTTGGCGGCGGCTGCCTCCGCCTCCTCCGACGCGGCGCTCTGCTGCTTCATCTGCGGCGGCGGGATCAGCCGGGGCAAGGAGCTGAAGCTGCAAGTGAAGTACCCCCGCGACAACCAGCCTTTTTTCCCTTTCCTGCAGCACCAGGAGCCGGCGCCCGGGGCGCAGGAGGTGACTCCGGAGGGCTGCGCTGTGGTGTGCGCCGTCTGCCGCTGCTTTCTGGGGGAGCAGTGGGACTCCTTCGAGAGGACGCGCACGCCGGTGGAAAAGCGCATGTATTGGCTGAAGCGGCCCTACCAGTGCGACGGGCCGGCGGGGGGGCCCGGCGGGCTGCGCAGGGGCCCCCAAGAGTGGAACCTCTCCTACGTGCTGGGCGCCGACGACGAGCGGCGTCCTAGTAGCAGCAGCGGCCGGAGCCAGCCTGCCGACGACGACGAGGAAGAAGCTTGCGGCGCCGGCGGCGAAGACTCTGAGCTTTCCTCTCTCTCTGACGCCGGTAACCTCTCGGAGCCTGACCTGCGTTCCCCCAGCCGGAACAGCGGCGCCAAAGGCAGTCCGGGTTACTGGCGCGTCAAAGAGCGCGCGGTGCCAAGCGCGCACATGGGGAGCCGCGCCAGTTACCGCGAGTGGAACCAGCCGCCGCCGCCGCCACCCCCAGAGGAGGCGGCGATGGCGGCGGCCCCCTTGCGCCCGGGGAACGGGCTGCCACCGGCAGAGAAGCCTCGGAGGAAGAGGCAGCGGCGGGCAAGACTCTGGGGAGCCGAGGCGCCGATTTGGAGAGCTGCTCATGGCGCGCCAGGGGGCAGCGGCGGGAGCGCACCGGGGGCCTTCAATACAGCAGGAAGAGGCGACGGGTTGGTGGGCAAGCGACCCCCGGGGAAAGTGGCCGAGAGCTTTCCAGTTACTGCTCCTCCGAGGAGAGCGAGATCAATATCACCAGCGACGAGGAGCAAAAAGAGAATGGCAGCGCCCTCCTAGCGCCCAGACCTCTCTGGGGGACAGAGCCGCCATCGGTAGGAGAAGTCGTTTGCTACGTTTGCGGCTCCCTCTTGACGTCTACTTCCCAGCACAGGATTCACGTGCAAAAGCAGGAGAAAGCCTCTAAGGCGCCTTTCTTCCCCTTCCTGTGGTTGCACAGCCCTCCTCCGGGGGCTTTACCCATCAGCACCGCTGGTAGCACCTTAGTGTGTTCTTGCTGCTTCGCTTCCCTCATGCAGCAGTGGCAAAGCTTTGAGTTGGCCAACGTGCCTGTCCTGCAGCGGCTCTATGTAGTACCTCTGAACGCTGTAGCCCCCAAGGCTAAGAGGGAGACTCTTCCAAGAGAGGAGGTACTGCCTGGACCCCTGCAGCTTCTCCAGGAAGCATGTTACCTCTGTGGGGAGGATTGCACCAAGGATGGCCGGTCAGTCTCTGCCAAGATCACCAACGGCAATGCCAAAACAACCATGCACTTCCCCTTCCTCAGCCTCCTTCCTTGCCCTCCCAATGCCAAAGGTCTCAACAAGCACTGGGAGGTCCATAGCTGTCGGAAATGTTATGGTGTGCTGCAGGACCTATGGGCCATGTACCGGGCTTGCCACAATGAGGAGTTCATCACTTCGGTGCAGAGCTTCCTGGGCAGGTATCACCAGGTCTTTTCAGCTGGGGAGTCCAACAGCATTGCCCGGCATCCTGGTTTGGCCAAAGTGGGCTTGGTGTCCATTTGCTACATCTGTGGAGCTGAACTGGGAGCAGGGAAGGAGTTTCACATCAGTGTCAACCCTCCAGGCCGCTTTGGCGAGAAGGAGCCATTCTTCCCATTCCTCACAGTTTACCCACCAGCTCCTCGGGCTAGGCCTGTCGATTCAACTGGAATAGTGGCCACATGTGTGCTCTGTTACCATGATCTCTTGGGGCAGTGGATGCAGCATGAAAGCAACCATTCCCCCCATCCAAGCAGCGCCTGGTCCAGGCAGTACAAAGTGGAGACTTTTGTCTGCTTCTTCTGCAGGCAAGAGAAGAAACGATGCCTTGGATTAAAAGCGGTGCAAGTTGCCAGGCTGCCAGTGTTCCTGTGCTCTTTACGGGTGCCTAGCAGCTTGCTGGTGGATGACGGTAAGCAGCTGACCATCGGAGCATGCGCTGAGTGTTCCGTACTGGTGCTGGCTGGCAAAAACACAGTGTCCAGAGATCTCTTTGCAGCACCTGCAATGGCACCAGCTTCTCTCCAAAAGGTAAGCAGCCTGGTTGACCTTCCAGTGGAACTGGAATTATCTGCTGTTGCTCTTCTGCGAGCTTTGGCTGGAGACAGGTGCCAAACTGTTGCTTTCTAGCAAACCAGCCGCTCCAGAGTCATTGACCTCATGACTCTAAAAAACCCCACCATGGATCTCTGTCAAGGTGTGTGGGAGAACTGTAAGCATGTATCTCCTTTTTTTAAGCAAGCACTGGCTGCTGGAAGGCTTTCTTTTAGGTGACTCACTCAAGACCAGAAGCTAACAAGAATTCTAATGCTGGTGCCATTCTACTCCTGCTACAAAATCCTATTAGGGATTAGCTTCAACATTAGCTTTTTAGAGCCGTAAGAGAACTCCACAGTTTCCCAACTATGATGCAAAGTGCTTTTTTCCTGAGGTGTTTTTCTGTTAATGGGCATATCAGGTGGTCCCCCCCCATGCTAATTCATGTATCTTCAGAATACAGGTACAACGGCTGGAAAGAATCCCAGAAGCAGAGCCATGGTAGGCTGTGGCAGCGCAATGCAGAGTTCCATGTCACAATAAACTAATTAGTAGTGCACAGGACTTTCTGGAGGGCACTCCCATGCCCACTTATGGTTTAGGTGCCTTAAAAGAGTGAATCTACAGAAGTTAGTAGTCCACCAAATGTGGGCTAAAAGCCATCCCCTCTCCTCCATGGCTGTTTTGCTCAGCATTTAAATGTTCTTGTCCAATTTGTCACTTACGCTAGGAATTTGTGGCTTAACAAGAAAACAGTTGTAAATCATACTTGCCTAATAGCCTGAAGGCAGGTCCAGAGGTGGCTGAGTGGCTGTTAGAAAGCTGATTATAGTGCTTTTAGTGCTTTTTATTTTATATACTAGCTATTTACATTTCTCTAGTTGCTTAGTCTTCCAGGTGTGCAGTTCAGCTCCACAGTGTGCAGATGTCCCGATCCTCGTCTAGCAGCAGATTCGAAAGCATTATGGGTAAGGGGGGGGGTCTAATCCCTGCCAGTCAGTTCAGTGTGGAAGATGGGAAAGTAATGGGAATCAGGCTTCCAAATAAACCTGTGAGCAACCAGGAATGCCAGTAGATATATTTCTATACCGTCCTTAATCCAAGGATCACAGGGTGGTTTACCATATAAAAACAAGAAAATGCATGACATAGTAACAAAAACAATAATAGATCATAGATTGTTTAATTAGATAAAGGCCTGAGAAAAGAGGAATGTTTTTGCCTGGTGCCTAAAGAGATGCAACAAAGGTGCCAGGCAACCCTCCCAAGGGAGAGCATTCCACAAGCAGGGAGCCACCACAGAAAAGGCCCATTCTCATGTTGCCACCCTCCTGACCTCTTGTGGAGGAGGCACACTAAGGACCTTGGATGATGATCACAGGGTCCAGGGCTGTGGGAAGAGACCATTCTTATTCTTACTGGCCTGCCCCTGTGCCTCTTTAACACCAGCCTAACATGTACAGATCCAACAAATGAAGTTTTTCTGTTTTGTCTGCATGCTAGGAAAGGCTTCGCTCGCTAAATGTCTGCCATATAAGCTGCATGTTGTTGAAAATGTGGCAAATTATGCGGTAGGGTTTTGTGTGTGGGGTGAGCAATTTGCAGTCCTTTTAAAGCCAAAAAGTGAAACTTGCCTTCATACAGGAGTATGCAGAAGACCAGGGTTGACGTGCAAATGCACTTCTCATTGAATATGGGAGTGAGAGAAAAACTTTGATGCGCTCTTAGGTAGTAGTTGCTCAGTATGTTCCAGAGTGGCAAAGATCTGTCATTTCTATGCAATAGCAAGTTTCCTTCCTTGCCTTAAACACACCATAGAAATTTGCTTTTCTGATTGGAGGTACAGTATTCATTCATATTCTTATCTCTTGGCATTCAAAATCCTCATGAGTGTGTGGTCATCTCTGACTATGATGCAACCTCTCCCCATTGCATACAATTAGAACAGCATGTGACAATGACTTCCTGCAGGAATAGCCTCTGTCATTTCTGTGGTTTTGCACATTGCAAGGGGGACAGGGAAGAGAACACATGGATAAATCACACCTCCTATTTGGGTATGTTTAGGAAAAATTGCCATGGAGGAAGTCTTGTGTTGACTACCTGGTAAGATGTGTGAGAGTGACCCCCACATATCAGACTCTCCTATCTAGCTCCCAGGGCAGAGTCTGAAGGTGTGTGATTCAGCAACCTTGATGAAGCTAATGAGATCTAGGTCCAAGCGGGAGACTGCTTGGGAACTTTATGTCTGTCACCCTGAGTGCCATCATGAGAGAAATGCAGGATATAAATGCAATGAAATATATTATCTCCTCATGGGAGAGATAGTTTGCACTAACATGTTAATCCTAAACTAAAGAAAGTGATAGCAGAATTTATGGGGGGAGGAAACTTGATAATGGGTGAAGCTGATTTCAAGAGTGTTTCTGTAACCAGATTTCTGAAATATGGCATCAGCATTGCTTTAGCAACAATCGCAGTTGTTCAGCTTAAACCACTTGTAGAGTGTTGATTTCCAAGTCATGCAGGCAGACGATGAAGTGGCCTCAAAGCTATTTAGTGCTTGCTTGTGGACCCTTAAAGGATTGGACTATCAATGGTGACATATTTCTTGGCCTCAGAGCCAAGCTTTTGAGAGAGCCCAAATAAGCATGCTCCCTAAGATAGGAACTCCCAGTCTGCCAGCAAATGGAAAAAACGGAAGCCCCAGGATCCTTGAAGGAGGTGTTTCCAAGCTGACTGGCTTCTTTCCCTCCCTGTGGGAATGTGTCTTTTTAATCTGAAAGTCAGCTGTGTAAAGGGGGGGAGAGATTTTCATGCTCCTATGACTTAAGAAGCCTTCCAGAGGGCTGTTTGCTTTTCATCTGAGCTTCCATCCCCTTGGCTAGAGAGGACAGCTGCTGATAATAAACTCACGACAGGCCTTAACGAATGACATTGCAGGACTGTAATAAAATGTGATCTAATATTTGAGCTGCCTTCCTAAACCTGGGCTCACCATTTGAGTCAGCCCCACTGTACAGAGGCTGCTGTAGTACAGTGGTACCTTGGGTTACATACGCTTCAGGTTACATACGCTTCAGGTTACAGACTCCACTAACCCAGAAATAGTGCTTCAGGTTAAGAAATTTGCTTCAGGATGAGAACAGAAATCGTGCTCTGGCGGCACGGCGGCAGCAGGAGGCCCCATTAGCTAAAGTGGTGCTTCAGGTTAAGAACAGTTTCAGGTAAAGTACAGACCTCCGGAACAAATTAAGTACTTAACCCAAGGTACCACTGTACATTCAGTACTGGGAGGAGATAGGCTGTTTTGAGACATTTGTATTCAGATTCTTTTGTTTGTCTGAAAATCATTTTGCCTTGAGCCGGTGAGGCTAGCAGTCCTCTTTTGAACAAGCATTGGTGTTTAGCATGGTTGTTCAAATCAGCTCTGGGGAACTTTGCAGCTCCAGACTTAAGCAAAGCCTGTGGTTGCTTCAAATCAGTATATGTGAAGTTCAGTACAGTGGTACCTCGGGTCCAGCATCTTCTCACAGTGGCCAACCAGATGCCCATTGGAAACCCAAAAGCAGGACCCGAGTGTGCTGCAGCCCTCTCCACATTTGTGATTCTCAGCAAATGCCATTCAGAGGCATACTGCCTCCAATAGTGGGGATAGGAACATAACCATTGAGACTAGTAGCCACTGATAACCTTCTGCTCCATATATTTGTCCAATCTTCTTTTAAAGCCATACACTACACCTTGGGGAAATCAAATCCCAGAGTTTTAACTATGCCCTGAGTGAAGAAGTGCTTTCTTTTGTCTGTCCTAAATTTTCTAACATTCAGTTTCATTGGATGTCCATGAGTTCTAGTGTTATGAGGGAGGGAGACAACTTTCATCTAACCACTTTCTCCACACCATGCATACCTTTGGTTCTCTAATCCCACTGTTCCTAAAACTTCTGTGTAAATCCCTCTGTTTCTCTCAGTGATTCATAATGTGTTTGTTGTTCCCTTTTATCTTCCCAAGTGAGCCCTCTGTCTCTTAGGTTCTCTGTCCCTTAGGCAGCGGAGGCTGCTGCCCCACCAACCTCAGCCTGTGCTCAGCCAGCCCCCACCTGCCTGCCTCTTACTTGCATCCAGTCCAGGGGGTGGCATTGGCTTACTCCTCTTTAGTCCCAATGCTGCCCTTGTAGAAGTCAGCAGGGAGGAGGTTGGGGACAAAACTGGAATTAGTTGCCTCTGGCTGTCCTGGGCTCTGGTTCAGCTAACTTTTGATCTCCCTTGCATTCTGCTTTACCAGTCCTTGTGATCACCAGTCATCTCTGCTTCTAGGACCTCCTCCCGGTCAGCCATCTAGGCCTGAGCCAGCCCCCATGCAGCTCCTCCTTCCCTAAGTACTGCATGGGGCTTTAATCCCAGTCAAACAGACAGCTATCTCTTCTATCCCAGAAGTTGGACTGTGAACCTTTTGTTGCTTTGTTCCCCAAGTAATTGGAATGTTCCATGCCAGCGCTCTGGCTCAAACAGTTGCTGTCAGATGCATCATTGCCTCAAACTCAATACAGTACAGATATCTGTGAAATGGGAATGTATCTGTATTCTGTATCTATCTGGTGTGTTTTGTAAGTGTTCGAATGCTTAGTGGTGTTCAGGCAAAAAGAGCTTTTTATCTAAACTATTGATCTGTTTCTTGTTTTGCCATTGCTAGGGTTGCTTTGACTGAGCACCTTGCTGGATTTTATTTCAGAGACTGACCAGCTGGGGTTGCTTGTGGGTCAGGCTTCCCCAAAGGAGATGGTGTTTTGGAGAGACTACTGTGTCTTACTATTTCTGCTCCAAAGGACATAAAGTACTTCCTCATACAGTGCAATTAAAATATGAAAGTAAAGCTGCTATCCAACAGGGAAACTGACAAACTAGCCAGCAAAACAAAGAGCCAAGTGGAAAACCTGTGCCTTGCAACACCCTCCTCAATGCTTAAAAGATTACATTGGGCAGGGTGAGGAA